ACGACAGTTTTCTTGAGCTCAGATACAGCTTACTGTTACCATCATTGATCGCTGGTACAGCATGCTTCAATAATGCTTCCCAGACTCCGTCTTCTTGTCGTCGAACTGTTTCACGATTGCGATCACGAGCTTTAATGATCTCTTCCTGATCATGTCGTTTCTGTTCTCGGAGGGTGTGAGTTTGAGTGTAGGTTAAGAGCTAACTTACTCTTCCACACCCACACCCACACCCCAAAAACATTGAGCGAACCAAAAACAAATAAAACCTTAACTTTTTGAAGTTTCCAAAAATATTGATGTATTCAAATCTTGTGCTTGAAGATGTTTACAAAAATTACATGAGCGACATCCTTGTAAATTGATCACTTTTCCGACCTTTATCAGTATAGTATTGAAGAATACCATTCAAAATAACAACAATACAAGAATTTATAGAAGATTTCGTGCAGGAAGTACGTTGCGTAAACAACGTTCCCAGAATAATCTTCAGTTTCATTGTGAGTTATGTTTTGAAAAATTCCTTTTTTTTTTGGTATTAAAATTACTTCAAAAGCACAGCAATTTAGACACTATTCTTTTTGATTTAATATTCATTATTTTAGAAGATGAGAGAATTCTGCTAATCTGTTTATTCAAATAGTAAAAATATAGAAGTTTTAACATATTACATCTGAAAGAATCTTCTTATTCAGTTAAAACAAAATTCTATTCTTTTACTTATTTATTATGAATTGTTTTGACAAGTCATCGTTTTATACTCGTGAACTTTACTATTCAGTTCCACTGCGTGCCTTCACAACGTCAGTCTATGTGTTGTTTTACACATTTAAGCTTCTCACTTCAGCAACGACTTTTCGACGCATATGATTTTTTCTGTCTCAAATAAAGATCGAAAAGAAAATAAATAATCAAGTAACCATAATGTTGTTAAAGGCTACCATTTAAGTGGTCAGTAGAATAAATGAAATGGTCAGTAAATGAAAAAATTCTAACAATCAGTAAATTTAATGAATAGTCAGTAAGCTAATGATTGATTAGTGAACTAATGAAATGATCAGCTATTAATGACATAGGTTTGTAATTAAATTAAATGATCAGTGGATAAAATTTATTACCAGTAAATTAAACTAAAAGGAAAGTATAGAAATTTAATTGTGTCATAGTACCATTCACCTCAATTGTTTTTCTTCTCTTTTTCTATGTCAGGAGATGCTGCGTGATATATATTTTCCTCGTTCCTTCTGTGACTTTGATATCTGTCAAAAGTATACATGTTCCTATTCTGTTTGGAATTTTCTTTGTTTTATTCAGTAATTGAATTTTCCCTCTGTTGGCTTTTTCATAAAGCGATCGGATATTACAACATCCCGGGGCTATCTAATACCTATATAAATTCGTGAATTTTTATAATAAACGATCATCATCAAGTGAACAAGATAATAGACTCGCAGAGGAAAGCAATAAAAGTCGCTCAATATGAGAGCGATACATCATCGAATGAAGAAATTATTGAAAAAAGCTGTGCAAATAATGAAAATAAAGGAGTTCATAAAAAAAAACGAAAAACAAATTTTGGAGTAAAGAAGCAACAACAAAAATTTACAACTTTCAATCAATTCAAGAAATCATTTGACATTTGGTGTGTAGAAATGGACAATGATTCACATTGAAAAACATCCAAATGTAATTGTCCAGCGTTTCTTAAAAACTATATATGTAAGTACGTTGTCGGTATGGATATACGGCTAAAATATTGCAAACCACCATCATCAGCAAAGACAGTTCCAATTGACGAAAACAGAAAACGTGGTCGACGAGTAAAAGCTAAACCGGCTCTATTGGTGACAATAATTTAGTGTTCATTCCCTTGATGAGTACTAATTCATAGATTTCTTACTTAATGTTTCAACAGGTTTTTCGTTATTTTTTTCTATGATTCTTTCTATACATTTCTATTTCTTGTACTAAAGTATATTTTATACTGACAAAAAGTGTTTTTCTACTGATCAAATTTCTCTTTTTTACTGGTATAAACTATGTTTTTCTACTGCCACTTATAAATAATTAATAAACTGACCACTTCACAATTATTAACTGATATTTTTAATACTGACCAATTCTATAATCTTTTGCTGACCGTTTCATTTATTTTACTGACGAAATATTATATCCCCGTTGTTAAACAGATTATAGTGGAGTAACAAAACTCGTAGTGCTCAACAAAAGAAAAACTTACTTTGATAACGTTAAAATATACACAGAAAAAATTCAAAAGTAAGAATAGGTGAGAGTAAGGGTCAAAGTGAAAAAGAGAATCTTCTTTTACCCTCACTCACACCCTTACCACATCTTCGATATTCACGTTGAACTTCATAATTTTAAACGAGGGTGTGGGTGTGAGTGTGACTGTGCGAATCTTCTCTTGATGCGCACCCATATCCACACCCATCCACACTCATATCCCACACCAAATCTAGTATAGTCCGGCTTTGTCGAAGCATGTTTTCCAATCCTTCGTTTGATATACTACTCAACTATGAAGAAAGTCTCACATATGATAAGTTTTTAGGACGATGTGAGTCTGAACTGTAAGCAAAATAGCGAAAAAATCTAAAGTATGAAATCATTTTGAAGATTTTCATCAGAAAATAACTGTCAGTTCGGCATCAGAGCATCTTAAAGATTTGTCAGATGTATCATTTTGGTGAGAATCAAGTGGGTTATTGAATAGTGTATTGAAAAACATCTTTGGACGAAGTTGACGTTTTTCTAGTTTTGCTTGAAAATGAGCAATATTCCTACTTTAGCCTATCGTAACAAAATGAAGATAACTTATTGTTTAAAAAAGGCTGGAGAGTTGCGGTTTTTCCTGTTCGCACTAGTATGTAAAACTACATCTAGAAATATGTATTACATCATGGGCCTCCGATGTCGATGCAATGATAGTATGTTTCATATGGATTTGTCCGCAAGCTGCCTAAGTTAATGGCAGTGCATTGTCTACTGATCTATATTACCTTTAGAAGAATTTAATAGAATGCGTGATGATTATATTGTTTATAGTTTATATAGATATATTTGTTGACTAGTTTTCAATAAGTCGGTGGGTGTAACTTTTCTTCCAGTGATAGTTACATTTATTTGGTTCTCTTTTATATATTCCAATTTCAGAAAAAAGTGATATAAAGGTGAGAGTATCAATTAACATACGAAAAAGAAAAAAGATTGACTAATGCAGGCAATTTGCTATTTTAGTGTACGAAACTCATTCATCGTTGATCAGTGCAAACGAATTTTATGCAGAAAAGAAGTCTAAATGACTATTGCCATCATGATCAGCGTCACGCTATAAATATAAATTTATTGAGGAAGAAAGAGAGAGGTGAGGGTGAAGAGAATAGCCCCACTCTCATCATTAGATATTTTGCCCGCTAGTCAGGTTATAGGCGAAAAGAATTCGAATTCTTCAATAACGTTTTCAATCATCGAAGAGATCTTTGCTTTTTTCCTTTCTGTTGTGATTATTTCAGTATAACATCAACCAATTGATAAATGACAGTGGCTAAAGTAATTGAGAATTGACGTCTTTCTCTGTACGATAAATATCAACAGCTAAGAGGCAAAGAAAGAGTTAAAGATGAAAATGACACGGAGAGGAAAGAAAAAAGACATGAAGATTAAGGGTCCTTGACATATTTATGTCCCAATCAAGAATAGAAGAGCAACAAACTGATCGCCACATTCGATATACATATGCAACGTTATGAGACAAGCGCCAAGAATCTAAGTTAGTTTGTCTATTAAACCGTCATTCTGAAAGCATCGTTTAGTAATACTAAGAATTCTACAAGTCATACGGTAATAAGTGTCTCTTCATTTTTCTTAGTACATCTTTTAAAAAACATCCAATCCAAAGCATCACGAATTGTATGTAAGAAGCAACATACTACAATTTTTCTGATTGGATAGAGTGCGGCGCTTAGTAAGTCAAATTCTAGGATAAGTTCAGTTGTTACAGAGCATTTTTTTTATCAACTTCTGAAGAATCAAAGACATTTGTTCTCTCGCAAAAGAATCATCAATTTTTATCTACGTAAAACAAATTGAATATTTCAAGAGCTTGTCAAAGTCAAAAGATATCATAGCTGGCAAATGACAATAGATCGGATACGGATTATTTTACGTAAGCAAATACTTGACTTTATCGTTGATGATGCTAGAGAAATATCAGAGAGAGAAAGAAACGACAGAAAAGAATTGACATTCAATGTGTAAAACATTCTTGACAGAGCATGCTTTTTCTTTTGTCACCGAGAGACGAAAGAAACAAAAGCATATACACTGTGTACCCTGCTTTCTATACACCGCGACTATAATGTTGCATACCTTTGAAAAACATGAAGCGAGATAGGCAATAACTTTTAGACTTTCAGTGTTCGATGGTGTATATTTGTAGCTTTCTATTGTTCCTTGAAAACAGTTTTTGACATAGTTTTTCACTGATCATATCAATTACACATATAAACATTCGAATAATCTTACATTAACGAAAAATTTCAATTCATAATAGGCTATATCTTCTCAGTTCTAAAATATTTTTCGATAGCATTCTTTTTGCTGCATGCTGGCTAATTCTGATCGAGAAAGCAAGCATAGAAAAGGACACAACCAACATAGAAAACAGTTCCGTAACATTTGATTCTAGTGTATCAGAAATGTCCTTGGAAAAATCGTCGACAGAATATGAATAGATATTGTTTGAATAAAAAGATGTACCTTGATTGCTGCTGAAGATTTTTCACGAGAATCTGTTTCCTCACAGTTATCGCTCGAATAAATTATCTTATGTTTTAGAATTGAGCGAAAATAAAACAATGCTCCAGAATGTCTTTTTGTGTTTGTTAATTTGCCTGAAAGTCATTGCTGATGATCGTCTGATCGAAGTGGCTCAATCGCCCGATTATCAGTGGAATGGAATTGCTCTAACCAAAAACAAACGAATGTTTGCTGGATTCCCTCGCGCATTGAGTGACGTGAGTATTTCTGTCGCTGAAATTTTGCCCAACAATGTTCTCACACCATTTCCAGGTGGTGAATGGAACACGTTCAATCCAACAACATCATCGGCCAATCCTGAAAATCGTTTCGTTAATGTTAATGCCGTTTTTACCGATTCTCACGATAATCTTTGGGTCGTCGATGCAGGTGTGATCGGAAACCGAACTATTCGAAACAGTGCCAAACTTGTCAAGATCAATCTTCAAACAAATACAGTCGAACGAGTTTATTCTGTTTCAAGTCTCAATCCACCTGAAGGATTTGCTTTGAATGATGTACGAATCGGTTCTCGTCGTGCATTTCTAACTGAATCTGGACTTGGTTCAGTGGTTATCATTAATTTGGAAAATGGTCAAGTACGTCGCGTTCTTCATACACATTCATCAACAAAATTCGCTGATCCGACGGTTGTTCACATGGAAGGACGAGTTGTTCTCGATGAAAAGGGACAACCAAAACGAATGCCAAACAACAATCTTGAATTGACACCCGACGAGAAAACACTTTTCTATAAACCTTCATTCGGTCACAACTAGTTTCGAGTGTCTACTGATGATTTAATAAATGAAACGATGACTGAACCTGAACTTGGTCAACGAGTACCACTCAGCTGGAAAACGATGCCTACTGGAGGAACAACCATGGATGATCAAGGAAATATTTATCTCATGGATTTAGAAAGACAAGCTGTTTGGCAGCAAAATTTTATAGATGGATCATGGAAACTAATTGTACATGATGAACGAATTATTTGGGGGGATGCATCTGATATCAGCGAAGACGGATTTCTCTATATACCAATGGCACAAAATAATCGAATTCCGACTTTCAACAATGGTACAAATCTAGTCGAAAAACCTTTTCGTATCTACAAAATCCGAATAAATTCAGCTTCGAACACCAAACTCATCTCGATTGTCATTGTCACTTTACTTTGTTTTCCTTTTAGCTTTTTGATGCAATAAATATTTACCAAATTAAAACTGAAGACATTTGCGTTACCCGAGCAGAATGTTGAACTGAAGAAAATTTTTCGGATCTCCTAAACTAAGCGTCACTATTTGACAAATCCATATTAATTTGAAAAAAAATGGACTATTCCCACATGATTGAATACAATCATTGTAAACGAGCCGTAAATGGTCATCAAAAACTCAATCACGACGTCGTGGGGGTATGGATATGGGTGTGGATGGAACTGGGATGGGTCTTCTCTTCACCCACACTCTATGGTGTTGTCATTTCATTTTCAGTTGATAAACAATTGGCAAGAATTAGGATCGTAGATAAAGAATAAACTCGTTTAGTTATAAAGATTTATTTTTTTATATTAAAACATATTGTATTTTATTCATAATAATAGATCACAGGAAAAAAGAGTAACAATATGCTCAAAATTATTGCATAAAATATATGAAATAATAATTATAAAGAATTATCATTTGACTAGATAGAAATTCGATGATAAATATTATTTTTACAGCAGAAAGAAATTAGTTTTATCAATCGACTGCAAATAAATTTGATATAATTTTCATTTTTTAGAAGAAGAAAAAACTTATTTTTATTCCAACTGTCAATGAGTGATATTTTCTGTTTCATTTTTAATTAATAAATAACATTTTAGAAGTAAAAGTAGCAAAACAAAAATAGATTTCATAACAATAAGAAGACATATCAATAGTATACTCAAGAAAAATCTAAGATTCAATCTGTTTCAATTTTATTATTTGTTTTCGATTGAATAGTATCAATGAAAACTCGCTTCAATCAATTAACCCAACAAATTATCATTCATGTTATGGAAACAAAGATATTCAACAGTTATTCGGCAGATGAGCATGTAAGACGAAATGAAATATGATCAACAAGAATTTATTTTCTTGTCCTAATAATCTCATTGAGTATTTTCAGTTAAATACATCAATAGAACAACAAACAAAAATAATTACTCTTAATAATCTAACACAAAATCAACTTGAACAACTGGAGAATTATTCTGTTAATAATCTTCAATGTCCATGTAGTGATATATCGATTAAATATGATAGATTTATTACCTTTCAACCAACATATCATCAAATATGTGCAATTGTATTTTGTTCTGATTTGTGGAGCGATAACACGTATTGGAAAGACACTACTTTCTATTCGTTTTATAATTTTCAATATATATCATCTTTCATTTTTTGAAATCTTATCACTACTATGTACAGCAGTCAATGAAATAACAACCAATAATTTAATTGTATTTAATGCAAATGAATATTTAACATCACAAATTCTTTCATCTAGGCTCTTTAATAAGGAAGTAACTTCATTCATTGAGTCACTCAAAACAACAATACAACTATTATTTGAGTTACGATTGAATTTAATTCGGCGCATGATTCCTGGAAATCAATCAGTTTCTAGAAGACATACAAAAGTTATTTTCAGAGATTTGAATACAAGTTCTGGTGTAGAATATTATGCAGTTATATACGTTTGTTTAATAACTGTTCTCGTGATACTGATCCGATATTCAAATTTATTATCAACAAAAAAATGTCTTTTTGATGATGGTTGTATAAATTTAATCAAATTTTTTATAATTCCATCAATAGAAATATATAAATGGCTGCAAAAATGAAAACAATCCTTGATAATTTATTTGTAGAAGATTGGAATAAATTTTCTTCTTATGATCGATATCAGAATCAATGTCAACCATCTTATTGTTTATATAATATTGAAGTGAGACCTACTTTTATATATGTATTAACACAACTCATTGAAATATATAGAGGAGTAACAGTGATTATCAAGATTTTGATACCAAGTATTGTTAATATTATACGACGAAGAGCGGTGTGTGGTGTGAGAATGCGTTAAATAATGCTAATTCCGACACTTGTACAACTACACCGACCCGAAGCAGGAAAGAATGAGTTATGGAAATAAATATTATTCGAACATTAACTTTCTGCTTTTGTTGAAGATACTCTACATTATTTTTATATTAATTTTCAAAAATACACTGGACTGAATAGAAGAGCACGTCCTAATCATTTAAGTATAGTGCCATAGGGATAATTTATGAAATATCACTCAGGAAAGTAGTACTACTGCGAGACCTCCATCTATCGTATACACTTCAACATTCCTTTTTGATTATGTTTCACAATAATATTTGAAAATTTTTGTATATGGGACGCCTTCGACACCTGTAATTTTCAAAATCATATACCAATGAGAAATAATTTCTGATTTTCAATTAAAAAAATACTTCAAACAAATGTTTGTTTTATGATTATTTTATTATTTAAATAGAAAAATTCTACACATATATATATATAATTATGATAACCAAATTTCTACAACATCTCCATTATTTGTAACATTGACCATAGTTTCATCAAAAATAGTATGGGGAAATAGTTGATAGAGTTTTTCAATAATATAATCAGGTGAAAATGGATCATCAAGTAATGTAATTTGATTATAATTAATTTTAGCATAAGACAAGTGTTGTAGATGACGAACAAATATATCAATAGTAGATACACAATTATCGAATGAAAATACTTTAAGTTTAATATGAGTAAATGATGGAAGACAGTGTGGGTGTGGGTGGGTGTAGCTGAGGGTGAGTGTGGGTATGGGTGACGAAAAGATACACACACCAATCTTCACCCTCATCCACACCCTCACCCAGGGCCCACGCGAAGGATCAAATATTAGGGGGTGTTTGGCAGATTGGGGGGTGTAAGAGAGTATTTTCAGAAAAATCTTGCAGAAAAATCAAAAAATGTGGACAAAATCTGCTCTTGTGGCCGGATAAACTGAAAAATTTTTATTTTTGGGGGTGTACACTCCCCTAAACCCTCGCTCGCGCGCGGCCTGCCCTCACCCACACCCACACTCACATCCATACCCACACCCACACTCACCATCCCACACCCACCCTCACCCACACCCCTCACCTCACATCCACACCAACCCTCACCCTCACCCACATCCACCACCCCACACCCTCCAGAGAAACACTTAAAATATCTACCGAAGTGTTTTTGAATTACAGCGTCATCTACCATATGATGTTTTTTTTCTCTCTCTTTATCCTTCTCATTAATTTGGTTTTTTGTTTGATTCAAAGCCTTAGCTTTGGTATGGAACCCATTAATGGAAAAGAATGTGAGAGACATGTTCTCTGCCTTATCAATCACTTTGATGATGAGTTCAATTAGAAAAACTTCTTAAATTTGTCAATATGTCTGCTTAGTTGATAAGACAACAAAATTAATAAGAAACTCGTTCGAAAAATTAATGCAGAATAGAACAATAGAATAGTTCATGTCAATTGCTAGTCGATTTCGTTAAAATAATGACAAAGACAACTTATGAAGTACTACTGCGAATAATCATATTATAGTAGGCTTGACGTCGTTTGATTAAGTCTGTATGAGTACCACTTTCTATCAAGTATCCTTTGTCAAGAACGCAGATCATATCACACGAACGAATGGTCGATAGACGATGAGCAATGGTTAGTGAAGTTCGAGTTGAATCGTCTGTTTGAATTCTTTCAAGAGCTTCTTGCACGATCTAAACAGATCGAAAATGACTATTTGATTGACGAGTATCGTACAAAAATGAACCTGTTCATTGTACGAGTCCATAGCACTTGTTGCTTCATCTAGTAGCAATATTTTTGGTCGACGAAGAAGAGCTCGAGCAATGGCAATACGTTGTTTCTCACCACCTGACAAGCAGCTACCTTTCATACCCACTTTGGTCTCATAGCCCTGTTATAACGACACAAAGACACAATAAAATATAATGTGCTATTCTTTTCTTACTTGAGGTAACTGCTGAATGAAATGATGAATGTTGGCTTTGGTGGCTGCATCGATAATATCTTCAATTGACGTGTTCTCTCTACCGTATGCTATATTCTCAGCAATAGTTAAATCAAACAAGATAGGCTCTTGAGTAACAAGACCAAAACACGAGCGGAGCCATTGGATATTTAGTTCTCGAATATTAACACCATCGAGACACTAGGTTTTAATAGCCGAGTGTTTACACGAATATGTTGACATCACAAAAGAGAGATACTCACGATTCGACCTTGTATGGGATCATAGAATCGTTCCAAGAGCTGAATGATTGTTGATTTGCCACAACCAGATCCACCTTTGTAAAAAGATTATATAAGTATTTTGAATGAACAACAACTGACTACAACATACCTACAAGAGCCATACGCTGACCTAAGTGACAAATAGATAGATTTCTTCACAAACTAAACTGAAAATAGACAGGACAAACTCACCAGATTTGATGATCAATTGAAACTTATTCAAAATGTAGGATGTTGGACGAGAAGGATACGCAAATTTGACTTGGTCAAATTCGATCTCGCCTTTGAAATCATTCTGCCATCGATACATTTCAACAATAATATAATAGTAATCTGTTCAAAACTCAGACTTTTACTAAATGAATCACTCACCAATTTTTGACCATCTATAGAACAATTATCGATGGCTGATATTCGATCGAACAAATTGAAGAAATTCCGAGCGGCTGACAATGAATCACTTATCTGTCGCAGTCTGAACAAGAGCACTTGAGGAAAAGAAATCGATCGCCGCAATAACTTACAAGATCGTGATGAATCGTCGAGATTCTACGGCGAAAGTATAATAGGCAAACACACTAAAAAAAACATGTAAGTAAAATAGATCTTAAAGCTTTCTATTCGTATACATAGAGATATTGTTCATCTTCAGTTCTTTGTGTTCAACAAGGATAAGAGCCTGCCTATACAGAAATAACAAGATGAGTGATGACATTCCCCAATGAACACTCTGTAGTAACGAGGATATTATTATAGCATTTCGACGGATTCTATGCGAAAATAATGCACAGAGATTAAGGAAAAAAAGCGATTGAAAAACTGACTTGAACTCTTTGAGAACTAAATATGAAAATTGACGTACGAATTCTGCCTCGCTTGCCAACTGCTTCACTGTACGCATATTGCGAATGATCTCGACAGCAAGCTATTAGTAAAAGAAGATTTAATATCAATATTTCAGTACACATGATATTATAATCGAAATGTTGGTCTTACCGAACTTGCTGCTCCAAGAATACAATCAGAACGTTTATTCAATAGTGCTTGCCAACGTATTTGTATGAAAGCAAGAACAAATAAAGAGACAATGTAGCAGAGTGCGATTAAAGTCAATTGCCAACTGAACAAAACTGCGAGAACAAAACCAACTCCAAACATCGCAATTGATTCACAAACGATGCCTAGACGAGCGCCAGCCATCTGCTGAATAGCCAACGCATCAGATGAGAGACGATTACAAATTGCTCCAGAACTATTTTCAAGACGATCAAAGAAAGCTATTTCTTGACGCAAAAGGTGTGCAAAAGCATTAGCACGAATACGTTCAGTCAATTTTGAGCCAGATACAGCAAACGCAGTGTACTATTGATGTAGAAAATATGAAATGGTTTATGAGGTATATTTCTACCTGTATAAAACGAAGGACCAAAAGCACAACACCTATCAACAAGACGAGAAGGGAATATTTAACAACTTGATGACGTCGTTCTTCGTAGGTACACGCTCCGAATATCTGTGAATAACCATTTACGACAATATTGATCGTACCGTACGAGAAAATGACTTACAGAAATTGTATTTGTGAGCAGAATGAGTTGGATTGAGTGACCTACTCCATAAATGAGGCAAGCCACACAGCCAATCAGAATGATGATCGCCTCTGGACTGTTCAAATACAAAAGTCGCAAGAAAACAGATAGACGATTTTTAGTCGATGACGCCTATTGAAAGTACACTCTGTATGCAAAAACTATCTCGACACAAACACATCCATGTTCTTTACTTTATCTTCATCGTCAAGTTCTTTATAACCATGACGTCGAGCGCATTCAGCTAATTGAACAAAAATGATCTCGTTCAAAGTATTTTTTTATTAAAAGTATTTACATACATATTTGTTTTTGACCATCATTTTCTATTTGTGTGAGGTTCATTGTTTCATCGATATCATTTTCTATTTTTTCTTCCCGTTGAGCTTTCATCATCTCGTTGTATCGGCTTCCTTTTTCTGACATCAGTGTATCGTGCGTACCTTCTTCGATGACATGTCCCTTATGCAACACATAAATGTGATGGGCATGTTGAATTGTTGCCAAACGATGAGCGATTATAATAGTCGTCCGACCTATTTGTAACTATAGATGATATAATTAAAACAGACAAACTACGTGCGAACCTTTACAAGCTTGATTGAGTGCTTCTTGGACGATCCTTTCATTGGCATTATCAAGAGCACTTGTTGCTTCATCCAACAAAAGCAAGGCTGGCTGTTTGACAAGAGCACGAGCCAAGGCAACACGTTGCTTTTCACCACCACTTAGTTGAACACCATGTTCACCGACGACTGTATCATATTTCTGCGAAAACAAATAATAGAGTGTATCTCATTAGAAAAGAGCATTCGATGCGAACATTGGGTAATTGCATAATGAAATCATGTGCGTTGGCTTGACGTGCTGCTTCTTCGATCTCGATTCTTGTTGCATTTTCCTTACCAAAGCGTATGTTTTCATAGATACTTGTGGCAAAGAGAATCTACATAGAACAATATCAAATGCAAAAATTATAATACAAGAAGATAGACATACAGGTTCCTGGCTGACCACACCGATCTTCTGTCGTAGTTGTTTGATATTACAGTTGGTGATCGATCGATCACTAATTGTAATGTGGCCAGATAACGACTCATAGAAACGAAGTAGAAGTGAAATGCATGTACTTTTGCCTATTCATTCAACAAAGAAAAAACTAACAAACTCCAATTTGTTTTTTTGTGGAATACCCACCAGAGCCACTTGAACCGACTAAAGCTGTTGTCTCATTTGCACGGGCCGTCAGCGTGAGGTTTCGTAGGACTAAGACATCAGGTCGGGCTGGATAAGCAAAGTCGATATTGTCAAATTGAATATCACCATTCATGTTTATAGCTTCTTCGCAAGCAACCGAATCTTCCAATATTTGTGTCTCATTCATACTGGTCTTCTGTTCCTATATGATGTACTGGAGAAGAAACCAGATCGTGCATCAAACAAAGCCTTACCTCGTCGATCAAGTGAAAGACAGACGCTAAAGCACCGCGAGTTTCTTCCATTGATTGAAAGAAGGGACTAACAAAGGCAAGATAAGCAGTAGGTCTTGCCAAAACAACCACTGTCTACTCAAACATTGAGAATTTATTAGTTTCAGAAGTCTGATTTATGAACTGTGTGATTTACCACAATAACATCACCGAAATTGAATATGTCACGTCCTGTGTCATGCATGAAAAGTAAGCCTGAGGCAAAACCAACTGAATAAATGATGTATCCTATAAGAGAGATCCATCCGGTGAAGAGGCCAAACGCGGCACCCTTGCGTACACTGCTCCAACGAGTTGCCTGTAATGCGCTTTTGTATCTATATACACAATAAATTTCGAATATGGTCATAGCTTATGGCTTACAAAGTTCTTTTATAAGTATATATATTTTTCCTACCGTTTTTCTTCAAATTTTTCACCATTGAGCGAAAGCACAGTACGAAGAGAACTGAACACTTCCTGAACAATCTTGCCCGCCTCTGAGTATGTATTCAATTCCTTTCTTGATTCTTTGGCAGTGAGCTTTTAGAATTAGTATAAGATAAATTAATCATCAGTAAGTGCATCTACCTTTGAAAAAGCATATAAGCCGGCAATAGTTAATGGCGAAATGCACAATATGACAAGTGTCAACTTCCAGTTGATAATTAGAGCAACACAAGTACAGCCAATAGTGGAAAATAATGCTACGAGCACATTTGATAATTCAAAACCGATATCTTTATTGAAATGATCAATGTTGCTATGAGATGAGAGACACAGATATTATTTCTATTTCAAATACGGACAGAAAATGACTTACCTGAACAATTTGACACCGAACTGAGTAATTGAATTCATATCGCAATAAGATATATTCTAGAAATGAGAAAGACAAAGAAAAGGGGAGAAACGATCCACATACACAACAATCAATCGTCATGAAGTTGTAACAAGTACGACTGAATAAATAGCTCCTTCGTTGTTTTTCGATATCTTGATTGATTATCATCATTCAGGCTTGTCTTCTTTTCGAAAATATACGCTGTATTATTCTCCCTAAAATGATACATTTTATTCGATGAATAGAGTCTTCATTTTTCAACGGCCGCAGAACTCTATGGGAATATTGAGTATAATTCGTGGATCTTTTTTGTTATTCAACTTTTCTATTGTAATATTTTAACTCGTACAATATTGAAACACGTCTTGTGATGCTTTCAGAGGTTGTAAATTTTTTTCTATGAATCGATTTATCCTATATAACAGCGATTTTACAAAATTCATTGAAATTATGAACTGCGCAAACATCATGAAACAAACTATGACAGTGTAAGAGTTAAAATGCTACGGGAAAATAGTTGAGAAAAACAAAATTGTTCGAAAACTGTACCTAATAATTCCATACAGTTCTGTAGCGATTGAAAGACGAAGAAGACCGCATTTATCTAATAGAAAAGCTTCTAGTGTGTTCCTTACAGGATTAAAACATAAAACATAATGAAGTTACGATGACCATAACCGAGAAGCCTATCTGCACCTGTTGCAATATTTTCGGCGACCAAGAAACTATACATCGAAAACTTCTTGCAACCGTCACCGATCAAGATAGAAATACTGAACACTCCTCGCAATGTTTGTCACGATCTGTGAGATAGGATAGGAAGAGGTCACCATTTTTCTCGCAATTTACTTCAATACTCAGTTCCAGTTGTGTTTCACAATATGTCATTTTGTGGAGAATTTTACAGTTCTTCTTTTAGAAAAAATACAATTCTGAATGATGATAATCGATGGAGATATTGAGAAAACAGTGAGAAAGCCATTTATTACGCCCTACCCGTTATATCTGCGCAAAGATAAATGCATTTGACATACACGTCGTAGCAGTGATTGTAAAAGACGAATACGTATTCGAGAGCTCTGCCGTCTGGCGGTCATGTTGAAGAGAAAATAACGGAGAGCAACGCACACCATTTCCATTATACCTATGACTAGAAACATTCAAGATGCAAACCGTTATTTTATTTGATGCCTGAAGAATTAGGTTATTTTCTGCTTACTTAAGAGCCAGCGCAATTTATTTATTACATCAGCATGAAGTTTGGTCGTAGCAAAGGACCATAGTGGTGCCAGGGTAGTACTCCCATTCAGAGAGAGTCTGAAATTGATGAACAGTGAATAAATATAGAAAGTGGAGCACATCAATGCTTTACGTGATCGTGACTTACTTATGTGTTCGATCATAGTTGAAAGTATTTCTCTTAGCATTCCATGAACTTCCTCTGCTATTGTTAGCAGTAATCGGTGTATTTTGCTGTGAAAGACATAGATCAATAAACGATTGCGACACAGATACACTCATAAGTTGACCAAAAATAACAAAAAGTGCTGTGTAGATCATACTATTTAGTAAGACGAAACATAAGCCGAGAGATATAATCAGACGATCAAGCCAATCAGCGAAACGAAACTATTCGAAAGTTAAACAAACATTCTGTTGTTTAATATGTATTCTCTCTTGATATACTTACTAGTTGAAAATATCCAACAACTGGCTCAGGTCTAGTATGATTATTATCATCATCTAACGTTTCATACCCTTGATCGCGCCGTTTGAAAACGAGACATTGAAGCCAATTGAACAATCTATACGAATACGACATTATCGTTGATATCTTTTGAGAGTTAAAATTCTATCTTACTCGTTAATCAGCGATGATTTTCTATTCTTATTGGTATCATCAGTAGAGTGACGGCTTACACCTGATATTAACGGCTGTGCATCACTCATGACGTGACGTACAATGTTTTATCAGTGAAACAAACAGAAAATGAAAATACCTATGAAGCATAGAATAGTTATTGCGTGCGATTTATTCAATTTGGATGTGACTGTGCCTTTCGCTTGAGATAAGCTGAACTTCCACTCTCATCCACAAAACCGAAAATATATTGAGTTATATATCATTCGATAGAGAACACAATTCTGCACACACGGATGTGTATTAGAAACGAAAAGAATATTGATAGAGCCTCGAAAACTTCGAAATATCGAAAGTCCTATGGATTTCACAGAGAACTTAGGTTTTTCAGGTTCAATAAAACGAAAAGCCAACTCAAAATACATCACTCGATAGAAAAACCAAACTTAATCGAATTATGCCTTCGGTTCCTAAAAATCATTATATAAAAGACATATTAATTGATAATTTAAAAAATGTTTGTTCGAGAGTACTCTAATAATACCCATCCTTATTTCTAATTCTTTCTTCAACTTTGTTGTGTGT